GCAGCCCGTCATGGAGGGAAACACGCTCTTATCCCTCGCCATCGAGCACTGATAACATAGTGAAACACTGTTGAAATTTACATTTAATAGAACACAGTCATGTGAATCTAAATTGCAAAAAAATAATAATCCGAGTATCTCTGAGTGAGTTTTGATATTTGAGGCTTTTATGTCTTTATTTGGAAATACTCAGAATGTCCCATGAGAGAGGGAGAAAGAGAGGGAGCTCCAAATCCTTTGATAGGTATTAAAAAAAAAGAATCTTGTCTTACTGTCAGCTCTTATATTATCTTGGAGTACAGATGTCTCAGCCTGTCTTGCTCACCCTCCCCTGGCCCTCGCTGTCTCACTGCAGGGGGACATTCCTCAAACCTCAGCCTCTGGCATGCAGTAAATCTGCCTGAGAGAGAGAGAGAGAACGACAGAGACCTACACTCTCTGTTCTGCCAGGAAACCCTCTGCCAGGCAAGGCGTGCAGCCCAACACGACCCAGTCATCAGTCCTATAGCCTCATACTTTCTCTCTGTTTTTCACATAAGCAGGCCTGATTACGGATCCACAAGCCTGCAAGCCTGCAAGTGTGTTAAATATCTTACTAGGGCGTTTTATGCAAGTGCCATGGATCAAGGTGAGGTGAAGGAACAACTGTGAAAAGGTGTTAATGGGACAAGAAAAGCTCCACACAGGCAGCTCACTCCCTTCCTGCCTCCCAGAGGAATTCATGACTTTTGACTACACAGCACTTCCAGGGTGTTACCGAGCTATATCCAATAAAAAAAGAAAAAAAAAAAGTAAAGCTATTGCAGTCCTGGCAACTTTCCCTCAATGTGTCTCTGCACACCTGCACTGAAAGTACAACCAGTCCTTGGGAGAAAGGATTCCTCAGACTGACCTGTGCAGCCGTGCAGAACATCAGGGATCACCTGCATCAATCTGTATGTGATTATTTTCTCCTTTCCCCCCACTCTGCTTTTATTTTTTTTGAGGCTTTATCGTGCTGTTCATCTAATGGGATGAAGTTGCATGCAGGCAGGAGCTGGAGACAGGTGTGCAGCTCAGTGGACGAACTACTACTACTGCAACATAGGTCACCTACTTTTCAAGTCTAACTGTCATTAAGCATCACAAGGTAAAGCATGAGCAGCTTGTTCCTGTGCACATAAATGGGATTCAAGTTCAGTTTACATGAAAACAAATCAAAGTTCTTTGCGTATATTTTGACTGTTCTGGGGCCGGATTCACAAAACCTTCTTAAGAAAAAAAAAACTTCTTAAGAGCTGATTTCTTCTTAACTTTCTGTTAGACAAAAGTGAAAAAGATTTCATATTTGTGTAAAAAGTTTGGATTTATTTTCGTAACTTTCTTCATATGTTTCTTCCTGAGATAAAAACGTAACAATAAATTAGATTCTTGAAATCAAAGTTCTTAAATGTCGTCCTAATTTTCTTCTTAACTTTATCTTCTAAATCTTACTTTCCAGTAAGAAACAGCATGCCGATTATACACTTGGGACTAGTTTGACAAAATAATCCACTGAAATTAGGGAATAATTTGTTGACCAAAGCATGAAGGGTCACCATAAAAGGTAACAGAAGCTCAGTGGATCGGTTCTGAGCCATATAGACCTCCTTAATAGGATGTGGACTAGCAGATATAAGTCTTAGTTATACGCTGCACACTAACCCACTTCTTTATCCTGACATCAATTTGGCACGCCATCGAGAGTGTCTCTTTCTGAGTGCATCCCTTTTTTTTTAAATTCGGGGACAACAGCTGCGCAGGATGACTGAGAGTCTGAGAATTTTCACAGCAAAGCGGCCACTAACGGTATGCAGTCTTTGTTTTTCTATTACAAGAATTCTGTGTGAAGAGTTATGCTCTGCTCCCAGATTCTCAGCTGGTAAAATGGCACAAGGACTCACCTAACAAAACAACCTGATTGGCTAAACGAAGGCAGAAACAAAAAGGGGCTACAACTAATATACATGCAAAAATTAGAGTGAAGAAGTTTGACCAAAATGTAATCTCTGCTCCATTAGAATTCTTCTTAATCATTTTTTGGGGGGCTTTTTATGCCTTTATTTGATAGGACAGTGGATAGAATAGGAAACCCGGGAGAGAGAGAGAGAGAGAGAGGGGAATGACATGCGAGAAAGTAGCCTCAGGTTGGACTCGAACCAGGCTGTCTGTTTTAAGGACTATGGCCTCCATACAATAACCGCTAGGCCATCTGTGTCCCCTATTTAGAAGATTTATTTTGGCCATTTCTGCTTTTAATTTGACAGTGAAAGCTGAAAAGAGACTGGATAATGTGAGAAGAAAGATCGGGGAATGACATGCAAGGGCACAGCCGGGAGTCAAAGTGCAATGAGGACTGTGGCCCCTGTACATGGAGCCTAACCTGCTCAACCCTGAGCTAAACCAGCAGCGCTTCTAGAAGTCTGTTACTGTTAATGATGATATTTAGGATGTTTTAGATGCTTTTTCAAACTCTCAAGAACAGCTGTCGAAGCTGTTATCAATGATGATTTATTAACTTAAGTTATTAAATTTAATATGCATGAACAGACAAAGCACAATTCTGTCTTAATCATATTTCCATTGACCACATGGAAGCATTCTCTCTGGGGAGTTTAAACCTCAAACAAAGCATGCTGGGAAGTATGCAAACAGTTACATTCATCAAAGTCATCACTTCAGGTCACATGACTTCCAGTCAGAATAATTCATCTTCATGGGTTTGAGATATGTCTCAAAGATATGTTTTTACATTCAGATTCATACTAAATATTTTGTTGACTTTTATATTTTTATAACTGGTTTATGATTGAAGTTTTTTCCTGTTCATATTAAAACTATTCAACACATCAAAACACTTCTCTGACACATCTCAAATGAACGGCTCTATATTTTTAACAACCAAGACAAATCTCTCTCACTTACTGTAGAATCTTTTGAATCCACACCCAAACCACGAGCAACAGGATGTATCAGGAAAATATTTGTTTGTACATTTTTTATAGTGTAAGCCTTTATATCCATCCAGCAAAGGCACAGCACGCCTGGTAGTCCTGCAGGGCACAACCACTAAAAAACTCTGCTCTCTTGTTCCACCGCCAAGCCATAATAACAGCAATAAGGTTGGGGAGGCTTGTTAACCTTAATCTAGGAATTACACTGTGGCACCAGGGGAGAGGAGACCATGTTGTGTGCTTGTATATTTGAGCTGGAATTTAATTTTCACCACGGAGGGTGTGTGGGGGTGTGGGGGTGTGGGGGTGTGGGGGGGAGCTACACAGAGAGGGAGAGACAGTTGGATGATTCATGTAGAGCCTCACCTGGACTTAAATCACTCCACTACCAGATGCTGCTGTTTGAAACAGAATCATTATCGTGCTTTCTTCCTCTGTTTTTAAGCCTATCACGCCCACTTGTGGATAAAATGCCACACTGCACCCTTGCCTCTGCAGCTGGGGAGTTTATATGAGTATATATATTATTATATGTGCCACATGAGGAACATAATGGTTAAAGCTAGAAAGTTATGTAACATATTTGTAGGGAGGAATGCATGTATATGGACAACCTTAGGTTCCATTCTTGCTTCTCACACACATGCACAAACAGGACCTGTTGATATGTTTTAGTGGAGAGGTGTCAGAGTGGAGCTGCTACACACAAGGAGCGCACCAGAGCTGTGGGGGGTTTGGAGGTTCACCCCGGGCCAGCAGTACTCTGGAAGTGACCGGGCACCACTTTTTTTTTATCTACATGGGAACTTGAACTGGGACCATCCTGGGGTTCCCACACACTGAGCTACTGCTGCCCCAAAACATATCATTTGTGAGAGTAAGACAAAGTTGATGATTTATGGACAAACCTTGACCTCAAAGCAAGGGAATCTGTATTTAGCTTTCTCTTTACTTAAAGAAAGGAGAGTGAATAGAGTCTCAAAAGAGAGAGAGAGAGAGATTAATCTCAAGAATCATCAACAATTTTTGTTGGGTAATTTCCCATTAAACCATACAGAAAGAGAGAGAGTGAGAGAGAAAGAGAGAGAGAGAGAGAGAGAGAGAGAGAGAGAGCAAGAGAGTGAGAGAGAAAGAGAGAAAGAGAGAGAGAGAGAAATAGAGAGAGAGAGAGAGAGAGAGAGAGAAATAGAGAAAGAGAGAGAGAGAGAAATAGAGAAATAGAGAGAGAGAGAGAGAGAGAGAGAGAGAAAGAGAGAAAGAGAGAGAGAGAGAAAGTGAGAGAGAAAGAGAGAAAGAGAGAGAGAGAGAAATAGAGAAATAGAGAGAGAGAGAGAGAGAGAGAGAGTGGGGAATGACATGCAGGAAAGGAGCCACAGGTAGGAATGAAACCCTGGTGGCTCACCCAGAGGACTACAGCCTCCTCTCACACTCACTCACACACACACACACACACACACACACACACACACACACACACACACACACACACACACACACACACACACACACACACACACACACACACACACACACACTTCCGTAAATGTGAAGACTTACAGTAAAACTCAGGTGTTTTTCGTCTCCATCCTACAGTGGGTGGGCAGCTACTTTCATTTTGACAGATAAACACAGATATGAACGTTTGTGTGCGTGACACATCATGTTCTGGGTTTTACACCTTTTTTCCTTGGAAGCGTTCCTGTGTGTACACTGTCACAACAACACACCCACTCTGACAGTGGAAGTCATCTTACAGCTTCAGTGGCATTCTTCACCCTGAAGACATATTACAGGAGAGGAAGCAACCTGATAAGTAGAGAGCCTGTGATTTGCTTTTTTATTTCAACATTTGAAGGCAGGCAGATCAGGGCAAATTGAGCCATTTCTACTCTACTGTATGAAGCTGATCTCATCAAATGAGTCTCAGCAATTTACTGAAAACCTGCCTCATGTGCATGTAATTGACTGCTAATGTAAGTAAGAGCTGAGTGCAGTAGAAGAACCGCTCTCTGATTCGTTGATTTGTCTTCAACAGACATGCAGGCCTCAACAGGAACCTCTGGTGTCGATCCTCCAGCAGGTAACGCCTCAGTCTTCCTGGACTCTGAGTTTCGTTACGTCCTCTTCCCGGTCGTCTATGGCATCGTCTTCATCCTGGGTCTCTTCGCTAACATCTATGTGCTCTTCGTCCTGCGCTGCCTACGAGGCGCCAAGGCCATGGGTGAAATCCGGATCTACATGGCAAATCTGACGATAGCTGATCTCCTTTTTGTGTGCGCCCTCCCCCCCTGGATTGGATATTACAGCCGCCGAGGCGACTGGATCTACCCGGACTTCATGTGTCGGCTGACCGGCTCGTTGTTCTTCATCAACACCTACTGCGCCATGCTCTTTCTCTGCGCCATCAGCGTGAACAGATACTGGGCGGTGACCCAGCCTCTGGACGCGGCCTCTTCAGACCACAGGCGGCGAGGGTTCATTGTGTGTGCTTGCATTTGGCTGGTGACCATATCCATGACTATTCCATATCTGGTCTCTTCGGGGACCAACCCTGACCAGGGATTCACTCGCTGTTTTGAGGGTTACCAGAATCAAACCGACTCTAAAAAGAAAACAGTGGCCGCCATTCATTTTACAATAATTGGCCTGTTTTTCATCGGCTTCTTTCTCGTTGTGGTGTGTAATCTCCTCATTGCTCGAGTGCTACTTTCTTCACAGTCAGAAATCAGGTCAGCAACCATGGTTTCTCTAAGGTCCAGTGCATCCTCTTCATTTAGAAAGCCCAGGGGAGTGAAACGGAAGGCTCTGCAGATGTTGCTGGCAGTGGTTGGAGTGTTTGTCGTGTGTTTCCTGCCCCACCATGTAGTCCAAGGACCCTGGACCCTGGCAGTGCTGCAGATCCAACGGGGCTGGGGTCATGTAGAGTGGGACCAAAAGACCCGACAAGCCCTGAACGACACGCATCAAATTACGTTGTTTCTCATGAGCCTCAACTCCATTTTGGATCCCGTAGTTTACTGTTTTGCCACGAGGAAGTTTCGCAGGTTCATCATGGCACACATGAGGAAGATAGGAAAAGGAGACGGGTGTTCACACACGGACACCTCGCAGCTCTCTATGGACAGCAGACATCAGAGCCAGAGACATCCAAGCGAGCTACAAGAGCCTGAAACGAACTGATTTAAACATTTTATAAACCGTATTTATATCTGTTGCTTATGTGCCAAATACTGTACATCTTATTTATTTTTGAGATGACATTACTTAAACTGGTTTGCTTTAAGTTGCTCCACACCCTCAGTCTCTCTCTCTCTCTTTTTTTTCAACCATAGTGTAATACTCTGACACACGCACATTGTTTTGACATATGGTGTGCGTTTACTGCAGAATTGCACCACTCCTTTTGCTCTTCCTATGTTAAATTTCAGCTTAAAAAAGCAGAAGAGCATTTTAAGAATGTAACAAGAGTTGTACATTAGGGAACTCTTTCAGTCTGTGTAATAAACTCCTAAGACGTAGTGTTTAAAATCCTCCCACAGGTGAAAGAAGGCCACTGAAAGCAGATCAACGAAGATCACATTTACACATTCTGACATTTGATCAGTAAAATATGTGATAGTGAGACAGCCTCCCATTAGAAAAGTCACATGTTCTTCTTTTTTACTTTTGCATAGACAAGTGATATCCAAAATTGTGAAACCCTGGAACAGATGTAATAAAGTTTGAGCTACGTTTCCCCTCTGGCATCCAATGTTATGGCAGAAAATCCAATGATTCACCGCAACAAACAAAACCAAACCCTTTTATTGATCTGATTTCTGCAGTTTATACACTGCACTGTTTTTTTCTTTCCCATACAGAAAAACGTATGTTACATTTAATTCAGGGAAACAGTTTTTGTATTTTTTTTTCCTGTGTTTTTCCAATCGATGTGTGAAAGGTTGTTTTGATGTGACAAAAATGAACTGGTTTTATGCTTGTATATCTAGAATTAACAATTTTTTGCATTTTATTGCTAAATTGTGATGACTTGAGTGGCTCAGTAGCTCAGTCTGTCGGGACTTGGGTTGCAAACCGGAGGGTCACCTAGTCTGGAAATTGGTCTGATAGCTGGAGAGTTGCCAGTTCATTTCCTAAGCTCTGCCGAGGCGCCCTTAAGCAAGGCACCGAACCCCCAACTGCTCAGGAGTTCTTTCATGTGCACCCCCCTTCACTCTGACATCTCTCTATGAGCTCATGTGGATAGGATCCTGTTTGTGCATGCATGTGTATTTCAGCCTGAGTGTCCATGTAGCATGTCTCAATAAAAGAGTGTTAAAGTAATTTCCCCCTTTTTGGAATTAATCAAGGACATCTTGTTCTTCTTCTGAAAAGTGTTTCTGATATATTAACAAACAGGGAGACTTTAGCTCTTTGACAGAACTACAGATTGAACAACAGGTTTTATTCACATAAACCAAACAGAGAAAGAAGAATTTATTACTGTTTAGGTGGGACATTTTTATCAGGCTAAAACATATCTGTTGGTTGAACCATTTTCAAAATAATTCATTTTATCAAAGCACTTTAAAAAAAAAAGTAATCCCACATATGAGGTGAAAGGTAATGCTTCTTACAATCTTACAATCCATTAACTTCCTATCTCTGTCATTTGTCCTCTTTTTATTGCACGAGGTCTGCACACTCCCCTGGTCATTTATGACAGACTGGAGTACACACTGTCATCAGTCATAGTGACGGGGTCCAGATCACTGTAGGCTTGGTTGGTGCTTGTGTAATTCATGTATACATCTCCCTCACTCTCGGCCTGTTGCAAATCTATCCTGGTGAGCAGAGCAAAATGTCATAAGACTGTTAGTAAATGAAACATTCTGACTCATCTGGCTTACGGTCGACAAATTGCCAAAAAAATAACATTAAGGAAAATAACATTTTCTTTCCCTGTAGAGACTTACTTTGGTGACTTTCCAGGTGCAGGAGAAACTTTAGGGAAAAAACCAAGGAAATCAAAGTCATTTACAGAAAATCGTCTTGAAATTTTACCCAACAGCAAACTGCTCTGTGGTGTTTTTACCTTTAGCTGCGGTGATAGAGGGACTCAGCTTGTCACCAAACCTTTTCCATCCCATCCAAGAAAGAACGGCAAGGTTGATGATCAAGGCCAGTAGTGTGAGAGCAAAGGCAGCTATTCCTAAACTCTCACCAACTGTGGTTTGTCAGGTGAAACAGCACATAATAGCAGGGGTTAGGCATTTGTTGTAGACACACAGCCAAACGGATAACAGGGGAAACATAACGACCAACACAAACTTCTTGTTAACTAGTTTTGAACAGCGGCATTAGCTCAGTCTGTTGGAGCTTGGGTAGGGAACCAGAGGGTTGCCTGTATGGATCAAAGTGTGAAATTGGGACTGGTTACTGGAGAGGTGCCAGTTCACCTCCAGAGCACTGTCGAAGTGCCCTTTAGTAAGACCTGAACTCTTCAACTTCTTGAGCACTCTTTCATGAATTTAACTTGGGGATTAATAAAGTATATCTTCTTCTTTATCAAAGTCAGAGTTATATTAGCTTCTAGCAGATCCAGAAGCTAGCAGAAGTTAGCCAAAAAGTCACAATAAATTACAATAAAGGAGGCAAAATATTGGTTTTTGCCATTGAACATGCCAAAAAAAACCCCATTTCCATTCCATTCAATTGTGAAAATGTGTTTCTTTCACTTTTTTGAGTAGTATATATTGGTCATTATTCTTTGGAAACCATATTCAGGTTTACCTGGTAAACATGGATTTGTAAAGACTATTCAAACAACAGCAGATCCTTTAACATTCATGTGTGGCATCTGTGACTGCCTGGTGTTGTTCTGTATTACTGTACTTCCTCTTCTTGATAGGTTTATGGTCCCAACCGTCTCCTGAAGTGAAAACTGTATGCTGCTCTTCAGCAGAATTGATGCAAGTTGTCAAGTAGTCGCTAACTTGTAGAAGCTAGCAAGGTTTTCTAGGAAATATCTGTTGTATCCAGAAAGAAGACATGAAATAGTTTGTGGGATTGAACCATCAGCCAAAACTGGGAACTGAAAGACTTAACAAAGCTTTATAGAGCTGAGGGGAAGTGAAAGTAATCTTGTTGTCTCATGGTCACTTATTTATGCTGACACTGGTTTAGAGAATGTAATGTGTAACCATGTGGTGACTTTTCCTTCTGCTGCATCTTCAAACAAAACTCACTCTTTCTCATTAGTGTCAAGAACAACAATGGGTCAGTTGAACAGATAAAAGTATAAACGCTTTATAGAACTCAAATAAAGGCTACCAACCGGTTAGATTCCTGGAGATGATGTATACTGTGTGGTTCAGGCTCTCTCTCCATGGCTGTGTATCCGTCCTGGCACGGCAGCGGTAAAGTCCGCTCTGCCGTGGTTCGCTGAGTGTCAGGTCTTTTCCACTGCCCACCTCCTGCCAGATTTGATTTTCCAGGTGTTGCCAGGTCCAAGTTACAGAGGCTGGTTTAGAGAGAGCGCTGCAGGACAAGTGGACTGTTTGACCCACTGACACTGGGTAGTCAGGTACGTCCACCACACGCAAAGTAGACAGCATTTCTGGGGGATGGGAGGTTAGATAGAACAGTCATAAACCGATGATACTTAATATGCATACAGTAGTGAAGTATATTCTACTGTATTGCACACCATTAGCTTTGGCAAAGGTGATAAAGCTAATTAGTTTAGATATCTCTGACTCTTCCTTTAATCATACCAGCAGGGTAAAGAGTCAGTAAGCTCATGACATGTACTCCTAATGAAGCCTTTTTAATTAGCAAATATTTGCATTCTAACATGCTAATGTTAAATGTTGAAGTGCTCATGAGCCAGTTTTAAGCGCTACACTGCCATCCTTAAAAGTGGAAGTAAAGTCGTATTTACTGTTTTCATAGACAAGCTTACATGACTCAAACATTGCCCCTTTGGTGCTTTGACTTGTTTGAAATCCTCCTGTTTAAACTTCAGTAAAAAGAATTTAGTTCTTGGATTAAAAGTTGATCTGGATTCAGCCAGAAACATGCAAACCCAGATCTTGAAGTCCTGCAACATGCGCTATTAACACTGGATGGAAGCTGTTGGGATGTATAAACTTAATTACAATCTGCACCTTGTATTAGTTTGCTTTAAAATATGTTTTAATCAGGGTCAAACTCAGGAGCCATCGGTTTTGAGTTGTTTCAAATTTGCAACCAGTCTGTTTTACATTTTGACTGGCCTTATCTCTTTGGGAATGACTCATGTACGTCTGGTAAAATTCAAAACTGGTGCTCACATTAAAACACAAAACTAAATGGTCCCTACGTCTTGGAGAATCCTATAAGCGTCTGTATTGAGTGCCATTGACGCTATTGAGCAAAATAAAAGTTCAAAATGGAAAAAAATATGCGGTGCACGGAACAGCTGAATGTTTGCAGTAAGCATGCTAATATTAGCATTTAGCTTAGCACTACTCTAAAGTGCATATCAGTATACATCGCAAAATAATTCTCTGTAATGCTATGGACTCTTAAGTGTTGTTGATTTCAGTGTAAGTTGATTAATTACCCTCTGTTGTGCTCGAGTAGTTAGACGTGATGAAAGAAGACGTATTTAACAAAGATAGCCCATCAGTTACTTGGGGTGTTACTGTAAGAATGAGAAGCACGGATTAATGTTAACAGTATATTTGAAACTTTTACTCTATTATAACATTTATGAATAAATCCCCAAAAATCCTTACCTGTGTCTGCACACAGAAAAAAGAGGAGAAAGAAACCACAAAGCATGTTGTCTTGAGCCGGACAAAAAGCTAAAGCCATTCTCATCGCAGGCAGACAGAGTCGAGACTGAAACAAGTGATATTGGTAAGTAGGCATACAGGTGTAAATGAGGGAAGTTGGGGACTGGGAAACTGAAAGACAGGGAAGTTTCAAGTTCCTTTTTCCAAATATTTTACAGAACAACTATTCAGTAAAAACCAATATGATGTTTCATACAAGGCAGGCAACAACATGAGTCTGTTTTGATCTAAATCTAATACTTCTTATGTCCTGAAAACAGCAGGCAAAGTGGGGTCAATAAACAATTAGTACATAAAAACTTTGAATCCAAGTTACTGTAAAACCTCAAATAAAAGACCATCCCAATTTAAGGCCCAGTTCCTTTTTACCAACGTGGTGTTGCTTTATGTTTGACAACTAGAGGAAGGTCTAAAACTAGAGGTCTCTTTGCATTAAGTGTTGATTAGTTTGCAGATGAAAAACATGTAAACAAGGGTGCCAGAAGCCTAGGAGTTAGTGTGCATGCCCCATGTACGGAGGCCATGGTCCTCCAAGTGGGCGACCCAGGTTTGAATCCAACATTCGGCTTCTTTCCCGCATGTCATTCTCCTCTCTCTGTCTCTGATTTCCAACTCTATCTACTGTCCTATCTCTACAATAAATGCCCAAAAATAACTTATAAATATTGTTGGAATGATTAAAGTACATGATTTTTATATGTCACAGAATTAGAACTGTGCTGTAATTTTTTAAATATTTGCTTTGTGATAATGTGTCTTGATTTTTCAGTATTTCTGTTAATTCTTTCTGCTGTTGCCAGGGGCGTGTTCAGGCTTTTAGAGTGGCCCACCTTGGGAAACTGACTTATGCAGTGGGGGCATGAAGTCAGCCGGTACACACAGGCAAATAAATTTAATTATTTTTACCCTTTCAATACACACTAATCATGTGTACTTATAAGTAACACAATTTGGTAACATATACATCTTCTTAGCTTAATTCTTTAGGGACTCAAAAAAAAAAGTTGTATGAGCAAAGTCTCAGTTTAAAGCACTTAGACGAATGCATGTCACCAAACCTTTGCAAACTCTGACCTGTCTAACTAGAAAATAACCTTTAATGACAAGTAATCCATTGCAAGTTAGACAGTGTACTAAAATTTTGCGAGAATATTTTTTCTTGGAAAGAAAGCAAAGACTACAAAGCATTCATTTAACACGTAAAGAAAACTACCTGCAGCCTGTTGAAAACACCCAGAGTATTTGATTTGAACTTAAGTCCCACCTCTGATTAGACAAATAGTCAATCATAGATTTTGGGCTAGCACCTGGGGTGGCCAGTTGGATTTCAAGGGGGGCCCCATGCCAACCCTGGCCCTGCCTCTGGATACGCCCCTGTTTCACAACAGGCCCCTCTTTATTATTTTTTTTATTTGAGCCTCAATTACACTTTAACCCCAACCAATTTGATAAACCAATCACAGACCACAATCATCTCCTTAGTTTTTTTTTTAAAACTGACATACATGGAAGAAGGATTCCATTGATTTTCATGCTCACATATTTTTTGTTCCCACAATGTGTAAGAGAGAGTGAGAGAAAGCATGTTTTGTTATCACGGTGTTGCTTCTGAATTCCTGTCATACACCCTCCATGTCTCCTTATCTCTCCAAAACATCCACATGTCGTTTTCACTTTTCTAGAAAACTAAAAACAGAAACAAAAGAGCTTTCAGATGTTAGTGTGTGCTGTGAGCTACACTCTGCCCCCCCCAGACTACCTCAAAGTCAATACTTTGTGTTTCTTCCCCTTGTTTTTTGACCTGTGTTAGACCTTATGCTCAAATTTGGGAAGTGGTTTCTCTTGCATCATGAAAAACTGTTGTCAAAACAAACCAGCAGCTGCTGCGTCGCCTTACTGCGGAATTAAACGATGTGATGTGACTTGGAATAGCTCCATGATACAAAAAAGTGAAAGTTAGATTCAAATTTTGTCAGTTAAGAAAAAGTGGAAAAAGTGAGTATTGAGTCATACATTTACAAGAATAACAAGGTTAATTTACGATTTAAAAAATCGCAAATTGATTTAAATTAGACTATGTTTGAAATTATTATTCTGAAAGGTTGTATCAGAGAAGCAGCCATCTGCCTTGTGTGAAAATGATGAAAGGGGAAAAATGAAAGCCATTTCCTCCGCCACAAAAAAAACCCTCCTCCAAGTCAGCGTGGCTCTTTCTTCTGAAAAGCCAAAGCTTCTTGCAGCATCTTTGCAGAATGTGTGGTTCCATATCTGCTTACCACAAGTCCAGACACAACTCATCAGATATTTTGGAGTCCTCATCAAACTATTGTTTTAAAGACAACAGGATTAATACTCAGTCAGTTTGTGTTACAGGCTACACGATTAAGTATTTACTTTTTTGTGAAACCTATACTAAAGTATACAGAAGAGGATTAGGGCCACTGAACATTTTGTTTTAGGACTTTATTTCTCAGAATTTTGGCTCCAAATAAAAAAAGAGTCAGAACTCTGAGAAAGAAGTCAGAACCAAAGAAAACCTAACCCTAATCCTCTTCCGTACAAGTATAACTTCACAAGGCCTCCTTCCTCATTTTTGCTCAGGCAGCTGCTGCTCTTCTGATTTAACTGTAGATTAAAATAATGACTTCATTCTCATTCATTTACAACTTTATTTTTGTAAATGTATGACTATAATCCTGAAATCTCAGTCCCCCCCTCCCCTCTTAATGTGGCCCTAATACTCCTTGAGATCTAAACCACAGGCTGTAAATATTAATGGATGATGCCTGAGTGATGCCACCCATCTGTTACTTCAGGAGGATTTGGAGGCTCATCAGAAGCCGCCATCTTGGAAATCCTGTCTCAGCCTAACTTTCAGTCGACCTAACGACAGGCTGAGAGCTGAGGCGGGTTTTAAGCCTCCTGGCAAACCGTTTCATCCAGCCCACCTGTCAATCATGTCAGCTGCCTGCCTAACTATGCAAACACGTATTGTTGATAAAATCGAAACAGAGCCGTTACAAAACAAATCCCCCTCTAGCACAGTGTGTGCCCACGATGACATAAACTTATTAGACTGATTTGGTTTGTAAAGGCTGTTTTAAAACGAGGTGTGAATGTGACTTCCTGTGCTTCTGCAGCCAGCCTCAAGTGCACCCTCAACAAACTGCGTGTCAAACATTGGTGTCATCGTTCGACACCGGAGGTTGCCGCTTGATCTAAATACTTGACACTTCCTCTACGTCTCACTTCGGTTGATTATCTCTTGGTAGATTATCAGATCAACACGCTTTTTTTCACTGCTTCCTCATTTCATGCATTTGCTGATCACGTTTCCTGCAATGAATTTTGTTCAAAAGCAAATCATCTCAAGTATTAATCGACCCAGGACCAAGAAGGAATCATCTTTATATTTCTGAAGGTGTTGAGACAAAACGTACACCCAAAAGAAATTTTAAAAAGCAATATTCTGCAGGGTAGAGCAGAAAAAGGCAGGTTTATTCAGTCCGGTTCCATAAACAGGAAGTCCAGAACACATGAGCAAACAAATATAAAGGAGCGGGTAAAAGAGAGGAGCAAAAGTCGTGCACAAAGAACTCACTTGGAAGAAAGGCTAAAGGCCGAGAGAGGGCACGCAGGGATTAGATAGACAGACAATCAGGTGACAAGAAGACGAAGGTGAGGCTGACACACAAGGCGGGAAAGACACAGACGGTAACATCTTATCTTTAATTTTCTGATTTGTTGAGTTAGCTTTAGAACATATTGTAGCCAAGGTTTGAAGTTTGAAGCGACGGTTCTTCATTTGGTTCTGCACAGATACACACCCACCAGAATGAAGTCTTCAGTTTCCATGCACAATAAACAACATTTTTGTTTCATTCCCCCTATGGCTCTGTGATATTCTTAAAAAGACATGATGACGAAGTACAGCAAAGTTTTAACTGGAGTCCCAATAAATAAAGCTACATCGTTTAATTGCATTCATTGTCTAATATTTTTAAAAGAGGCAACAAATGGAGATATTGGATGTTTTTCAGAATGCTCAGAGGGTGGACTCAGGAGAAACCCAGGCAGTTTGTTTGCATGCATACATCCTGTCATTTCTTTTATTTTCATGCATAGAGACGGATAGTGTGAGATAGTGTTCCTCGACACCCTCTGCAGACATCTGGGACCTCCCCTTTATCAAGCTGAGACAGAGAAACCGCTCGACTTCTATATCAGAGGAAGATAAAAAGGTGATACTGAAAGATAATCTGTGTGTGTGTGTGTGTGTGTGTGCCTGTGTGTGTACGAGTGTATGTGCCCTCCCCCCTCTTGAGTCATTATTCTTCTATTATTCATGACTCATTCATTATTCTGCCTGTACTGCTGGCTACAGTCATGCCTGTTGATTTGCTCTGCTTTGACCCTCCTGCCCATACAGGACAGCAGGGTGATAGGAGGAAGTTTGTATGACGTGTGCATTTGCATAAACACACATCTTACTATCACACATGTTTATGATTGAGTCAACAAATGATTGACCGTCTCTGTTTCTTTCAAGTGACTGCATTGGTCACTACGGGGGCAGCGTTTAATCAGTGACTGAAGACGCTGAGACGTGAAAATGAAAAGTGAGAGCCAGTGGATTTGGCTTCTGGATTTGGAGACAGAGAGTGAAAGATTTGTGGTTTTTCTCCTGAAATAAGATGCTCAAACAGTCTTTATTTGATAGGTTTTGCCTGACAAAGCTACAAAAAAAAAAATCTATATTAGCTCAATTAGTGTTTCTGCAGGATTTTGCACTTCCTCATTGGCTTAAATTTCCCCTTGGTCATTGCATGTAACTGGAAAATTCTTTTGTGAAATATTCAACTCCAACTCCAAATCATGCTTTATTTATTTATGTAGCACCGTTCATACATAAAAACATGCAGCCCAAAAGTGCTTCACAAAGGAACAGACAGAAATTGAGAGACAGAGATTAAAAGAAAAGGAGAGGGGCGGGGGATAACTCTTAGCAGAGTGCTTTTTATTAAGAAGACAAGAAAATTATTTGTAAAAAAGGAAAG